CATCCTCCATCCATCCTCCATCCATCCTCCATCCATCCTCTGTCCATCCATCCTCCATCCATCCTCCATCCATCCTCTGTCCATCCTCCATCCATCCTCCGTTCATCCTCCATCCATCCTCCATCCATCCTCTGTCCATCCTCCATCCATCATCCATCCATCCCCCATCCATCCATCTTCCATCCATCCTCCATTTATCCACCCATCCTCCATCCATCCGTCCATCCTCCATCCATCTCCTGTTCATCCTCCATCCATCCTCCATTCTCCATTCTCCATCCTCCATCCATCATCTGTTCATCCTCCATCCATCATCTGTTCATCCTCCGTCAATCCTCCATTCTCCATCCTCCATCCATCCGTCCATCTTCCATCCATCATCTATCCATCCTCCGTCCATCCCTTATCCATCCATCCATCCTTTATCCTCTGTCATCTATCCATCTATGTATCCAGCCATCCACCCACCCATCCATCTTCCATCCTCTGTCATTCATCCACCCCATCCATCCATCCTCCACCCATCCATCCACTTATCCTCTATTCATCCTTCATCCTTTATTCTCTGTCATCCACCCACCCATCGCTTATCCATCCTCCATCTCACACAAGTTCTCCCACACCCTCCCTGAAGGACCCTGACAGGAATCCCTTCTCTCTGTGCCCACCCATCACCTGGAGCAGTGGGGAGCACAGCAGGGAGGCTCTCCTGGCTGTGTCTTCCCCTCATTCAGACCTGGGGACTCCATCACAGCTGCGGTGGTGAAGGCACCACCCAGAGCAGGGACAGCTGTTCTCATGATGTGCTCTGGGGTCCAGTACTGGCTGTCAGCCCCCATCCTGGGAACTAGGAAAACGTGTGCACCCCTCTGATTCACAGTTGGAGAAACTGAGGCCCCAGAAGGCACCTGCCAATGGTCACAGAGCTGCTGTAGGGGCAGAGTGAGGGTGAGCCATGCTGTGCCCATCCTGGTTCAGGGCTCCTCCCCAGTCCTGTAGCTGCCCACCCAAGAGGGCCACTGAGTGTGACTGCCCTGGAGCCATCACATGGCCTCTGAGGTCATTCTGTGCAGAGTGCAGGGACAGAGGAGGGTGGGGACTGGAGGACACACAGCCAGATGTTAGTTACACTCAGGAGACCTGGAGACTCTTGGCAGTTCCTGCGGATGAACCGAGGTCTGAGTGTGCGGTGGTTGTTCAGTGATCTTCAGGTGCAAGTCCCGGCCTGGGACTGTGCTCATCCAGCCTGAGCCCATGGGTGCACGAGGTGGCCCAGTTTGTGAGGAATCAGGTGACCATCACCTTCACAGCCAGGGCATGCTAGTGCTGTAGCCACTGCCCAGACTAGCCCCTGTAAAAGCTGCAGCCTCCAACCTGTTTGTGTAAACACCTGAACCCCAGAGATCCCGCACCTGCCTCGGTTTCCTCAAAAGCCAGGGCCCTGGGAGCAGGGTGGAGAGGCTGATGGGGGGCAGAATGGGTGTCGGCCCTCTGTGACAGGCAGTGCTCACTGCTGGGCTGCAGGGGAACAGGTCACCTGGGGAAGGAAAAGCAGGTGGCACTTTGCCACAGCTGGGGCATCAGGGTGCAGCCACTACCAGGTGGGAGTCAGAGGACCAGGCTGCTCACAAAGAGAGATGTTAAGGGCCCTTCAGCCTCCTGTAACCACGTCCAGGTTTCAGCCTGCCTTAACAGCATCCGGGTAGATTTCCTAAGTCACCCTGAAGCCACCTGCTCAGCTCCCTATCTTCATCGTCCTGCCCATCAGACGAAGTGTGGGAAAGGCCTGCCCTGGGAGAGGGCGTGTGGCCAGCAGGCGGGCAGCTGCCTGGGAGCAGGAGGGACGAGGAGCCCCAGCAGGAGGAGGCCCCCGCACAGCACCGGGTCAGGAGCGCAGCTGCCTGGGGACGGGGCCTGCCTCTGCCTGCAGCAGCCGGTACCAGTCACCAGCTCCTGCCCCGGGAGATCCTGCGCTGACTTCAGGGGTGGGGGACTGGCAAGAAACACCGCGCCTAGGGAGCTCGCACTCCAGGGGGAGAACGGCAGGGATTGAGTGACCTGGCCGTGCATCAGGGAAGTTCTGGGGGAGGACAGTGTGAGGGCCCCCTCCCCGGCAGTGACCCTGGCAGCTCTCCCTGCTCCAGCTCCTGCCCTTCCCGTCCTCCTCCTGGCTGCCCCTTGAGGTGGGGCCGGGTAGCCCTGGTCCTGATGTGGGGTCTGAGCCTGTGAAGTGCCCCCGTCCTCTGAGGATGCTCATTGGCCCCAAATCCAGACTCATCCTGCCCAGAAGGACCACCCAGTGGGCCCCTTGGGACAAAGTGTGAATAAGACACGCAGAAAAAAGGCAAGAACACCGGGGATTGGAGCTGTTTCTCAGCCGTGAATACTCGATTTCCCCGTGGTGCTTTAATAATTCATGGCTGTGTATGCAGAGTGCAGGCTTTAAGCAACACAAGACAGACACAGAGAGTGGGGACACGTCTGTCACTGGGATGTGGCCACGGCCTGCTCACGTCCCTGGTTAACTTAGGCCATCGTTGTGGTTACCAGCAGTGAAAGCATGACATGGGCAGTGCCCGAGTAAAGGTCAAGAGCGGAGGTCATCAGAGATCCCGCGATCCCAGCTGGTGAGGGGGGTGGGTTTAGTGAAAGTGTCTCTCAGCACCAGCCCCCCACCCGCACTCCCCGCGTCCCTCTGTCAGCCTAACGTGCATCCGTCATTCGGCCCCACCGCGGAAGGTGCTGCCTCTGACACATCTGTGCTCTGCTTTTGGGTGCAGAATCTGACCAATGAGGAGCAAGTGATTGTCATTCAAGCCAGGACAGTCCTGACCTTGGCCGAAAAGGTAACAGTGACTGTGCGGTTGCTCAGCAGACGGCTGGCTCCTGCGAGTCTCCCTGGGAGGAGGGGCTTCAGGGCCCAGGGTAGGGGTCCACTACGTCCTGTCTGCTGCAGGAGGTCTGGCATGCATAGATCCAACAGCAGCCACTGAGCATCTCGGCAGAGGACAGATTCAGCCAGACCTTGTCCCACACCAACTCTGCCTCAGTTTCCTCCCAAAGGCTGGAAGCTGTGGCAGGGCTGTAAAACCGGCACTGTTCTCTGCTTCACCTACCAAGACCCACCTCTGGGGGCCACCCAGCCTGCCAGCCTGGCCCCTGTCGCCCAGACCTGGCCTGGTGGGCTGGCTGTCAGCGCCCGTCTTCAGGCCTTCTACAGCAAGGGAAGGGGTGCTCCTGGCAAACGGGTTCAGGGAAGCAGGCCGCCCCTCCCCCTGCCTCTCCTGGCGAGATGAGCAGAGGCACCAGCTCCTGCTGCACCCCAAGCCAACGCCCTCCTCTCCTGAGGAAGACACGGGGCAGGGTGGGGGCAGACTGGACACCAGGCCAGGGAGGGGGCCTGGACCTGGCCTGCAGCAGGATGCACAGAGCTCACACCAGCCCAGCCCTGACTCCTGGGTGAGGAGGGGAGGAGCAGGAAGGAAGAAGACCCAGGCCTCCCTCACTGCTATGCCAGGCTGTCTCCACAGAGCTGGGGCTCGGGGAGGCATCGGAGCCCGTGGGGGTGACCAGGGGGTCACTGTCACTGTCATGTCCTGTTTGTGCCCAGTGGCTCCAGCAGATCGAAGAGACGGAGTTGGCACTGCAGCGGAAGATGGCAGATCTGGAGAGCGAGAAGGTTGGTGGGCGTCTCCCCGCAGGGCCCAGCAGCACGGCGTCACCAGGCCCAGGCGCCCGAGGCCGAGACACGGGTCCGCTTGTGTTTCAGGAGCTGTTCAGTAAACAGAAGGGCTACCTGGATGAGGAGCTGGACTACAGAAAGCAGTCCTTGGACCAAGCCCACAAGGTAAGAGAAACGAGGCTACTGGGCCCCTGGCGGGGGATCTGGGGTAGAAATGGGCAAAGCCACTCACACGCCCGAGCTGGGTCTCAAGTGCCATGGGGCTCAGCCTCAGAGCCCTGCCTGGGTAATGCCTGGCTCGGCCTGTGTGGCCAGCCTGGGGTCACTCTCTGCCTTCTCTCCCCAGAGACCCCTCTCTGGGTGAGCTCTGAGGATGTTTTACTGCCCCATCAGCAAACGCTTCAACTCAGGAGTGCACACGTGGAAGCGTAACTCGCGTGGGTATTTGCAGTGAGCTGACAAAATAGAATTCATTGAAAAATGGTGTACTTACGGGTTAACTGAGCACCATCGAATGTTTATAAGTGACATCATCTACTGGGGCCTCTGGCCTCTGTTCATCTACCTCTCAGAGAGGTGCCAGCTTCAGCTGTGTGGCGCACGTCCCACCACCCCCTGAGGGACCATTTCTCCCGCTGATAGAACGAGAGGTCATGTCTCCGTCTCAAGTTAACACTGAGATCCCAGAAATTCTCCACAGACACGTGTATCTATCACTATGAATCAATCCTCACTAAAATCCATTTGCAAACAGGAAAAGAATTCACTTTCTGTTTCAAGATGGTTCCTGAACCCAAATCCAGTATTGCCTCATAGCTGCTCAAATTAGCATGACAAAGGCACAGAAGCCAGCTGGGAGGCTTCCCATGTGTCCTTCTGGCAATTAGCTACACCTGCAGTTTAATGTCACCCTACAGGCCATGTGCCTCTGTCTCCCCCAACTGCTGAGTCCTTAAAGGCAGAGAGCATGCTGTGGCCGCAGACTGGTGTGGGATTTGGAGCGTGACAGCTCTGAGCTTAGCCCTCAGCCACTAAGGCTGATGACACGGCCCTCACGGTAAATGGAGACATTAGTTCCACCTCCTCGACTTGTGGAAAGTGGGTCCCTGCGACGTCAGCACAGGCAGCTTTTACTGCCGGCTGGGAAGCTGGTGGCTCTTCATTTCCACTGTCCCTATCAGGAGCCCAGGGATGCTGGGCGGGGGCACCACCTGAGCATAGGGTGGGCTTCCTGTGGGTCGGGGGTACCCCTTTCAGTGGAGGGAGGGACAAGGGCAGGAGAGTCAGGAGGGGTGGCCTCCTGACCTTATAGGTTCTCAGGTCCTTTGTGCCTCCCTTGTCCATATAACACAGGGACGTGACAGGGACATGTGCAATCATCAACCAGGACCGAGCAGAAGGTGTCAGCCACCCACCCCCTAAGGTGCGGTGGCGGTCCTTAAGGCCACAGACATTACTAGTTTGTGGTGGTAGTAGGCATCGTGCCATAACAGCGCTGGCCCAGCCCGGCCCTGACTCTGCAGAGAGTCCTGAACGGCTCTTCACTTGCACCTTTGTAAAGTGAGCAGCAGGACTGCATGATGAGAGCACTCTGTAGTCACACACAGGCGGCTTCAGTGTGGAAACACGGCCTGCACCCGACACAGCCTTTGGGCATGTGTGTGGGTGCTGCCTGCTTACAGCCCCTCTGTGGGGAACCGAGGGGACCAGCAGCTGTTCGGCTGGGTTTTCTGCTACAACCGTCTGCTCATAAGCAGAGGGCTTGGTCTTACCCTATTTTGTCTGCTGTGGCTAAGATGCGCATAGAACATTTCTAAGTTGAAAACTCAGTTTGAAAATTAGGTTCTCCTGTTAGGAGCTACCAGGCAGCCCTGATAGGAGCCCCTGTATTTCCATACCATAGACACTGTCATACCTCTGTGATTGCACAAGCAACTGGCTGTCTCCCCACTGGACTCCCTTTCACGTGAGGGAAGATACTACCAAGAGGATGCTCAGCCCCTGGTCTATAGGCAGACAAATATCACCACCAGGACACTCACCTGGGCATCCAGCCCGGCAGGCAGGGCCCTGGCCTTTATGCCTGTGAGGAGACCTACTCAGCCACTCAAAGCAGAGGAAGGTTGGCTTGGATGAAAATGCACACTCGTGGGGCCCAGTTGACATTGGGAGCTGTCAGAGTGGTGATGATGGTGATGGTGATGGTGGTGGTGGGGATGATGAAAATGATGGTGGTGATGATAATGGTAATGATGGTGGTGATGGTGATATTGATGGTGATGATGATGATGGTGGTGATTATTATGCTGGTCATGGTGATGGTGGTGATTATTGTGGTGGTGGTGGTAGTGATGATGGTTATGATGGTGATATTGATGATGGTGGTATTGATGGTGGTATTGATGGTGATGATGGTAATGGTGGTGATATTGATGGTGATAGTGGTGGTAATGATAACGGTGATGGTGATGATGGTGGTGGTGATGGTGATATTGATGGTGATGATGGTGGTGGTGATGGTGATATTGATGGTGATGATGGTGGTGGTGATGGTGATGGTGGTGGTGATGCTGGTGATGGTGGTGATGGTGATATTGATGGTGATGGTGGTGATGATGATGGTGATGATGATGATGGTGATGATGATGATGGTGATGGTAGTGATGGTGATGGTGATGGTAGTGATGGTGGCAGTGATCATAATGATGGTAGTGATGGTGGTGGTGGTGATGGTGATATTGATGGTGATGATGATGATGGTGGTGATTATTGTGCTGGTCAT